ACATTTGTAAGACATTCACATTTGTAAGAGGTTTACGTTTGTAAAAGTTGTACATATGTAAGAGAYTTACATTTGTAAGASRTTYACATTTGTAACAGGTCTACATTTGTAAAAGTGGTACATATGTAAGAGATTTACATTTGTGAAAAGCGTACATTTGCAAAAGGGTTACATTTGTAAGGGTTTTACATTTGTGGAGGTTGTACATTTGTGAAAAGCATACATTTGCAGCAGTTGTACATTGTGAACTATACATTTGTATGATCTACCGAAGCCAGCCTTCTTTTTCCTGTCTTAGGATCAAAACTGACAACATATTGTTCAAGATCCTTCCGAGTCAACCCTCCTTCACGACCTATAGTCCTTGTAGGGCCGTCTATGGATCCAACCAACAAAAGACTATACTTCAACAGCTCTGCGACAGTCTCCTCGTATGGTATAGATCTTACATCATCGCAGATTGCACAAAAGTAATTTTCCTGCGCCAAATAGTGGACTCGGTCTCTGAGCTCCTTACTAGAGTCTCGTCGAAATTTATAGAAAGCTCTTCGATCAAACAAGAATAGCACTACCAGGTCTGGATCATGGCTGTAGTACCACGTCTGGATTATCTCACGGCTTCCGCGGTGATGCGAAATATAACACAATTCTGCAAGTGGGCCTATGTCCTCATCGTCCTCAAAGCCCACTGCTTTCGGCGGTGTGGATTCTATAATGACGTTATTCATCGGTATCAGGGATTGCGTTGCCAAAGTTGGGGTCTCGTTAACGGCTGTTTCCAAGATAAGTTCGGGAGTCGGTTCAGCCAATTCAGTGCTGACTGAATAAACAGATGGCGAGTCAGTCGGATGAAGCTCCATCTCTACAGGACTCGAAATTGATTCCAGCCTGAATCTTCCAAAAAAGTCGAAGAACATCTCCCTCATAACGGCAGTGGCCGTTGGGTATGACTTGAGCGACTCATCATCATTACCGATAATTTGCAAATAGAAGTATTGGCGAACCTTTCGATATTCCTTGATTTCAGGCCTCCCAGCTCGAGACGTGGCCTTTCTCTCCTCGACATCAGTGCTCCATTCAGGGTGAGATTTCCTTGAGCGGCTGATATCTTGGGATTCTGGAAAGACCTGGACAAACTTGTTTCTGACATTGCTTACTCTTTCGGAGTCCACAGAATCGCTGTTCGCCAATGTTTTGGATATGTATTGAAAAACAGGGTATCGTGCGGAACGTGGAAATCGCTTGTTAAATCCCAATTTATTGGCTGTAAATTCAAATTCTGCTTTTCCTTGAATGTCCAACAAGGGCTGTACACCAGGCTCTTCTCCCTCCCTTCCTCGTCGCGGATCGATGAAATGACGGAATGCAGACATCCAGAGTTGCAAGTATGATGTCCAGGCTGCGTGCCGGTGTCCTAGTTCGGAAACTACTCTATCAAGGGAGATCTTGTCGAAGTAGAATTCAGTATTTTGAACCGTTATAGCTTCGCCCGGTATTTGGTCCCACGAGCCAAGTAATGCTTGGCGTAACGTTCTCTCGGATTCTTTGCCTGAAAACTGCCATAGTGGCTGCGCAATTCGCTTGATGAGCGAGGCGTCAGAGAAGAAAAGTTTTAATGATAGAACTCTTCCTTTCACCGCTAAGAAGTGATCCCTGACCTTGATTCGCTCGGAATCATTCACCAGTCGTGGAAACAAAGTACCATCGTCCATCAATGAACGAATGTGACTCCGGTCACTGATGGAATATGAAGGCATCATACCCTCGATCAGATTGACGGACGTCGGATCGACGATAGATGCTTCAAGGATCGACCATTGTCCATAAACCTTCTGTAAATAGTGTGCCATTTCCTAATTGTGTTAGCCAAAGTCAGAACTGTATATTCGAACATTMCCTCARGGCTCCGSGAGCCTATCACATAGTCTAGCTTGCGGAGTGTAAATGAATTCCATAGCCCGGTGTATGGAAGTAATGCACCAATCGCATATCGCAGTTCGTGGTTCTCGTAAACGCGTCTGACATACGTGTAACTTGTGCCGGTTTTTGCTTTCCATTCCACGACGCTTGGGTTATCTTGGGACCACAAGGACTGAAGTATCTCAGAATCTGCAGATTGATATGACAGCGGATAGCTCTCATTTAAGTACCGCTTGAGGTGCGTTGGAATATCTGAGCACTGGTGTAAGCGTGTTTTTAGTCGTCGGCAGGTTGAGCCTACCTTCTGAATAGAGACGGACAACCCACCACTTCTCTCCAAAGCCCAGAGAGCGTTTAGCAGCTTCCAGAAGATCCCGCCCCTGGAGACATGGCAATTGAATATCTTGCTCGAGAGTGAGAAGCGGGGGCGTTCGTGGATCGTATAGTATGTTCACATCAATGCCATGTTGTGAGACCGCGTTAACTAGGATCTCCGACCCTATGGTTACTGCAATCGTATGCAATGGGTCTTCTCGCGAATATTGACCGGTTTTGAAAAACCGAAGATATTGACGCACATTTTTCTCATTGTATGTATCACTGACAATGTGGCCTAGTTGTACTTTAGCGAATCCACGAAAGTATGTTGCTAGATCTAACGACCTCGTATCCATGATGACCACACGTAGTATTTTCTTTGCAGAACAGAAGCCGGCTATCGTCTAATTATATTGCCCAAAAAGAATGTTGGAACCCCTATAACTCCAATTTCGACCAATCTCTGCTTTCCTCGTGCATAAAATACCAGCGTTCAGCGAACGGAAATGCAGTCAGGTTATGAGGCTTTAAACACCACGCTGCTGGTTCCGGAGGGGCTTTCAGGAGAAAATCGCACTTGCTGTCTGTTAGTTACAGTTCGCCTTCCCGAGAATGAACTTACTTGAAATAATTCTCGATAGGTGGCGCTCTTGGTCATCTCGACGAACTCGCGAGCTTCACGCGACACGTCTCTTGGATTGTTGATATGCATTCTTCCATCTTCCAGAATCGTGTGGGGGTTTTTCAAATGGATCAAAACCAGCGCAACTCCTTGTAAATCTCCTCTTTTGTTCTCCAATGACTTGCCTTGTAGCATGCTTTGTCCAATATTGGCTAGAGAGGGTCAGCTTTTCGTCATACGCGGTGAAGGAGCATCATACCGATTTTGACTTGTCCTGACTGACTTAGCACGAGGTCTGAAAGTTTGATGGATCCATGGCTGATCTTGAGGTTTTCATGGATATACCGAAGACCGCTAAGGACTTGATGACAGACGATAGCGATGTCAACTTCGGTGAATTTGACATTTGGACTGGCATGGACCATCGACAGTGGTAGATCGCAGCGATCAAAGTCGTAAATCAGGTACGTGACATTCTTTGAATGAAATACCTCTTGTAAGTTGATGAGGTTGATATGATCAGTTTTGTGGAATTGCATTTTCTGGTGACTGTTGGCCTTGACGACTTTGACAAACACTGTGCGGAGTCCTTGGCGGTTTTCGAAACCGATCCATCCTGCACCTGCCTGATTGAACTTATGAGACAAGAGGTATCTCGTAGAGGGGTCCTCTTCTTTCCACAAAAGGTCATCTGGGCGGGATTGACCTATCGTTTTTGTAGTATCAGGAGGAAGGTTTGTTATGTCCTGCTTAGAATGCAAGTCTCTCAATGTCTTTGGAAGGATGGTATTGCGGGAAGCCCCTTTTCGAGACATCCCAGAGTTCTGATATCTAAATGCCGCGGTCAGGAATACTTGGTTGGTCGTAACACTACTGGCCAATGCTTTATATGCTCTGATCAATCGGGCTCTTCGAATGATATGTGCTGTTTCCGCTAATCTACCCCGTAAGCTTGCCAGAACTTGGTACCTGCAATCCGTTTTGCACACCTGCACCTTAATGAATGTGTAGCATCATAAACAAGGGGAAAAAAGTAAAATTAGTGGCCAACTTGATGGGCACTACTTGTAGCACAAGAATGAAACATACGATTACAGTATCTGACACAAATTTAGATCTCGTAGCGGGAACGAGTGAAGAGAGGAAATCGTTCGAAATTAGCAATGTTTGAATGACAGCTGCGGGAGACCTCTAATTGACATCAACTCGAACTAACACTAGCTCGAACTAACACTTACTCGGAATGAGATCATTTCTAACTGATACCAACTTGAACTGATACTAAATCGGAACGAGATCAATTTAGAATGAGATTAACTCGGACTGACACTAACTCGGAATAAGATTAATTTAAACTACGGTAACACCAGCTCGAACTAACACCAACTCAGAAAGAGATCAACTTAGAATAAAATTCACTCGGAATGAGATTAACTCAGACTGACACGGACTTGGAATAAGATTAATTTGGATTGAGATTAACTTGAACTGACACTAACTTGAGCTGATACTAACCCAGAATAAGATCAACTCCAACTGATACCAACTCGAACTAAGATTAACTTGAATAAGATTAAATTGGATAAGATTAAATTGGATAAGATTAACTCGGACTAATACTAACTTGACACTAACTCGGAACGAGGTCCAGCTTGGAATGAGTTTAACTCGGACTGACACCAACTCAGGATAAAATCAACTCTAATTAATACTAACTCTAACTAACACTTACTCTAGCTGATACCAGCTCAAACTATCACCAACTCGAACTAGATCAACTTGAATGAGATCAACTTGGAACAAGATCAAATCCGAGTGAGATTAACTCGGACTGATACCAACTCGGAATGAGATCAACTTGGACTGACCCCAACTCGAACTGACACCAACTCGAACTGACACCAACTCGAATTGATACCAACTCGCGCTAGCCAAGGTTCTTGTTTGATATCAGTCTGCCTCATTAAGTCTAGTAGTTGTGACGATCTGTTTGGTGTCGTATGCACCGTCTTGTGTGGTAAGAAATCCTGTTCAGTGCCAGTACCAGTTGGTGTTGGTACACCAAATTGGGAACACATGATAATATCGGTCTACAACGTTGCGAGTGCAAATGGTATTTCTCTATAATACTGATGATATGAGACAGGGTCACATAGTGAGGTTAAGAAATTCCAAACGAAATGTAGACGCACAGTCCCGCTCTCAGTCTTAAGGACCGCAAACAATATCTATAGTTACGAGCTCTGCCATAGTCTACGATGTACATTCAGTTGCGACTAGCTCCGAGAATCTGTCGCTAAGTGTAATTTTAGCAATGATGTGCCGGAATGATACCTGTGATAGCTTGATACCTTATGCCAACTGGCACTCTATCAAACTTTCCCCGCCGTTGATATGACTCCAAATACCGACAATCTTAAATCCTGCATCCGTAAGAAGTTGCCGCCATTCACTTTCTCGTCGTTCCCGAGCAGAAGCAAGGGTCATCAACATCAAATCCAACCCAGTAATCTGCCAGTCCGCCTTCTCGTCAGGCACAACGTTCTCGTTGATGAGTAGTTTGCTGTATCCGAGAGCCATTGCGTCCGAGATGTGTCGTAGAATACGCTTGCACTCTGCATCAGGCCAATCATGTAGGACCGAATGAAGATAATACGCTCTAGCACCTGTACGAGGTTAGCGGTGACTAGTGGAACGAGAAGCTCATTCAGACCTTTAATAGGTTGTTCAGTAAAAAAGTCGTGAGCCATGAACTCAACTTTTCCCAGTTGGTTAGAAACCTGTTGAATTACATCGGCCCTATCTTGCACGATCAGTCTTCCCGGGGCGGACGGATGCTTTTGATGGAATTCTTGTAGGTCATGGCCGAATCCACCGCCGATATCTACCACGAGGACGGCATTCGGATCAGGTTTCACGAAGTTGAGAAGGTCATTCTCCACAGGATAAAAGTCGCGATCCATCCAACTTGGTCGACCTTGATGATATGCGCTCATGTGCTCGTTGAACTGCTGTAAAGTTGCCGGACGATCTGACACCCATTCGAACCAGTGCTGAGAAGTTCCATAGGCGAACTGAAAAGGACCTGCAGTGGCCTCATCCGGGTTGCGATATCGAGTAGATCGAAAAAATTCCGGAAGCTTATAAATCGCTTTCATGGCCCCTTCCGCCCTACAGTAACAGCTGTCAGTCACGAGCTTTCCATAGGATAGTAAGCTAGTCCTACATGCAAGTAAAGCCACCAGCGTATTTGGAGAGAGCCAGTGCTTTGGATAAATTCGTGGCAAGATAGAGGTCCGGTGCGCTCTCTCGGAATATGCCCATTGCCGAAAGATGTTTCATGAGCCGACCTGCAGCCACAAGTGATTAAAATCAGATCACCAGACTCGATACAGAAACGAAGACAGACTGGTTAGAACTGGATCCGTCTCAGTGACCCGAGCAAGATATTCGACCGGTACGGGCCCGTTCGGGGCCTCGCTCATGTAGGAAAAAATTCCACAGTCGATCGCGGCCAGGATCGCCCCGTATAGGGTTGGCTAGATAGTTAGCCAAGGAGAATCATGCCAGGCAGAAAAATCTCACCTCTGCCCAACATAGTCGAATCATAGTCTCCCGTGGGGTCTCTAAGGCCTGAACAAGAAGGCGAGCGATTCGCAGCAGATGTAGACGATGATGCTCATCCATTCGGAGGTCCCGATATGGGAGCATGTCCCCAATCAGATGCGGCACGGCAATTACATCGCCGGCCTGGATCGCGACTGCATCCGGTGAAAAAGAAGATTCATCTGGCTTTAGGGTCATTGTTTGAGAACATGCACTAATATGAAGAATCAGAGCGTTGAAAAACGTCCCAGAGCCGGCCCTTTATACAGGAGACTCACACTAGATTTTAGTGCATATTTCCCGTTCCGGTTCCGGTCTGGGATCAAACCGTTCCTGAATGATTCAGGGATTGCAGTCTGGAAACTCATCATGAACCATAGGCGGTCCACATTCAAACCGGATAAAACAGTCGTGCGTAACCGGTGATATTTTAAGACCGATTAAATAAAAGACAGGGCAGTACCATGACTTTTCATTTGGTCGACATCACGTATCATGGCGCAAGACAGAGGCCCAACTATCCTCATTGCGATGTGGACGACCACGTCAATTGCAACACTATTTGTCGCTGCCAGGTTGTTTACACGAATCAAGATCTTAAGGAATCTTGGCCTTGATGATTACTTCATCGCATCCTCTATGGTAAGGATCCCATTTTTCGTCCATCAGCTCGAAGTTGACACCATCAGGTAATTGGTCTTCTATTCGTTAGTCTGGTCACAGCTGCTGTCGCAGCCGGTGATGGCGAGCATGTCTCTACGCTGTCACGTCACGATTTCGAAAGAGCAGCAATGTTGAATACAGCAGCGTATGCTCCGGGCATCGTATCCTTTGTTCTGCCCAAATTAGGGGTAGTGGCTCTGTTGTGTCGAATTTTCAACCCGACTCGGCGCTGGAGAATATTCCTGTGGACATTCGTCGGGGGAAGCGGCTTGGTCATTTGTGGGTGCATTATCCTACTTTATGCGCAGTGCAGCCCGATGAGAGCCATGTGGATACCCGGCCTGGGAACGTGCTGGAGTCCTAGTATCGTGGTGGACTATTCCATCTTCGCAGGCGGTAACACAGCGTCTACCTATATGCACCTAATCCAAGTCTAATTGTGGGTAGCACTCTCGGCTATTCTGGACATCTTCCTTGCACTATATCCTGCAGTGAGACTGTGGAATCTCCAGATGCCAACCAGGAGAAAGGCTCTACTCCTTGCTGCCTTTGCGCTAGGATCCTGGTAAGTACCATGAGATGTTATCTCCAGAAATACACACTAATCCGTCCAAGTGCTGCTGTCGTGGCCGTCGTTAAATGTACTCATATTCCAGGACTAGCAGACGAATCTGACCCGACCTGTGAGTCAAGTCAGCAGACTGACCAACTTACACGGCTAACCATATAACACAGATAGCACATCAGAACTCGTTATTTGGACTAAGTAACCGAATCATGCTTTGAATGTGGCGTCGCTGACCTAGTCCAGTGTTGAGTCCAATTCGATTATTATTGCTGCTTGTATCCCGTCGTGCATACCTCTAATTGAGACGTTATGCTCCAAAAGAAGGGCAACCAGCTTTCACGGCAAACAGGAGATAGGTGTTCCCATTACGCCTTCATTGAAGCGCAGAACCTCGCAGAAACCGAATGAAGCAATGCTTAATCAGCTATCGTTGTCTGAGATTCGAAGAACGGATGAAATTTTTATCTCCATCGAGTAGAAAGATGGCTGAGGGAAACGATACTTTTGGTAGGAAGTAGGTACATTGTCTGTACTTTAAATAGTAGATATTTCAGGGTAGACTAAACACGAGTATCTCAACAGCGTCCATCTTCCGTAGTCCCCCTGCCTCTTTACTGGTCTTCAACCTCTCAAAGACTCCCCTGTTACTCAACTCTTTCAAGGGGCCCCATCAATTCAAGTGTCTCTGATATACTGGGACCTGAGAGCGTTTGCCGCTTTGATTAGGCTAGTTCCCGCTGTAATTACGCGTCCTCCAACACATCTCAACTCCACTTATACTTCATGCGTTTTTGAGAGAATAGACTAGGCGACCATACAGTCACTACACTGTGGTGTATCTTTCTAGGCGCGCGGAACTTCTAACATGATATCAGCTTAATGTCACTGACACCACAGGATGTCTGTTAATGGACATAGTGAACCCTCTACAGCAGGAATGAAGAAGGGCGACATGAGACCAAACTAAACCATATTTTAAATTAACTTTTGCTACCTATCTGCCTAACAAAACAAAAAACCTATCAACAATACAGTTGTTCAACGACCAATATTCTTAATCTTTACTCTTCCATGCTGACCTCTTCTTTGTTGACCATTGCAGACATGCTTTTCATCATTTCGTTCATTTGAGTCATGATATTGGCGGTCATCTTCTGCATCTCAGCCATGATCCTGGTTTCCATATCATCCTTCATGGATTTGATCTCTTTCACCTCCTGTCGAATCAGATCGATTTCTTTCCTCAGTGCCGCGTTTTCCACATTCGAGTCCTGCCCAGTATTCGTATCGTCATCTTTCAAGGCTACTCTAAAGGATGGCTTTTGACCCCGTTCTTTCCAGTATTCATCAAAGCGATGTCCCGCTTCATCGCCATAGAACTTAGTCCAAGCGGATCGAGTGAACACTTCATACCATTCGGCGTTCATATCCGGATCACGTATACCAATTATACAGTGTTCTGGAGGCATGGTCCTACCAGAGGGTGTTCGTGGTGCCTTGCGCACTGCACCGAGAAACAAGAGAGTGTCAATCCCCGTTTTTCTGGACCGCTCCAATAGCTCAGAGAAGTATTTGCGTGAGTATGTGATGCCATGGCGGCGCTCTCCATAGTACTCCCCTATCTTAAGCTTGCTTTCCTTGCCGTCTCTGAAATAGCCATCGATCGCAGTCTGGCCGACCTCTTTGCCAGTTTTCATGGAGTATTCGCCTTCGTTCCACACCAGGAAATTGTACCGTGGCGGTCTTTTCCCCTTTTCAGCGCTGTCATCTCCTTTGGATCGCTGTGCAAAGTATTCATTATAGCGGAGTATTTTGCCTCCACCAACTGTCGATCCTGGGATGACAGAGACACCAATCTTGGTAGACACACTCTTTGAGCCCATCAGCTCAGATAAAAATGAGCTGGGGACAATTTTCTTTGTCTCGGGCAAGGGCTGCTCGTCTTCCTCCACCTCGTCATCATCACTGCCGCTTGCCATGTCGTCATCCTCCCCGTCGTACGCTTTGATGGCATCCAACAGTACTGTACGCGGTCAGCTGGAGACAGAAAACTGAGTCCGAGATTTGCATACTGTGCCTCGCCTTGTCTGCCTCAGGTTCTTTGTTCCATTCTGGACTGAGGAGCCACTTCCAACTTGCAAGCTTCACGTCTCGGTCGTCATCATCCCTGACTTCCAATAAATCTACAAGGGCCATATCCGGGTTCTCGAGGGCCCTATTAATGGCCGCTTTGGACGCGGCAACCTTCTCCGCAAGAGTAATCTCTGCCTGCTCGACCTCTAGATATAATCAGCCATTGTCTGTACCGCCCCGCATCACATACTTTGAAGGGCCTTTTTGGCCTCCTCCGATGTTTCCTTATCGAGTGCCTTTTTAAGGGCTGGTACTCGAGAATGGAAGGCCGCGGTGGTCCAAACACCTAGGATGCCGAAATCGGTATCATTGTCCTCAATGCTCTGAATGAGAGCTGCGATCCGTTTGGCTCGTATTTCGGCATTGTTTTTCTTTGAAGGCAGTTGTGGTGGCTCTGGAGTACTTTCCGGCGTGAAAAGCCCGGTAGAGATAGCCTTGCCATCCTTGATCTTCTCTTTAAAGGCATCTACAAGTGTCTGCGGAATTTCCACGGATTGAACAAGCGCCATTTTGATTATTTGCCACACTGTCTCGATGGCAGTAAAGACAGTGATAAATTGTCATTTGAGGACAAGGGGAGATGGTCATTTTATAATAATTCCAGTCACGTTCCGGATAGGTTTTGATCAGTCACCTAGACTGTCGCGTACAAAGTGTCCGGGCGGTTACAACCCATTCTGGATTTCTGTTCGCCAACGCAGAAGGGCAACATGTCTCGTTTCTTGCTCATGTTCTCTTTCAATATCCGCCAATCTCACGTAACGAAAGTACGCGGTCGCTGTCGCGGACATGACCATCACCACGACGGTTAGAATCACGGTCAGAAGTGCCATGATAGACCAGTCTCCATCTTGCGCGGAATAAATATTGACCAGCGTGGTCAGAAAGCCGGCAAACGCATTCAGGATCGTAGGGCTATAGGGTCAGTAGCTGGAACGTAAATCAGGATAGGCTACGGACCGAAATAACTGAGAGAGCCAGATGTAGTTATACCGCCATCTCCATGTGAGCCATACCAATGCAGCTGCTCCGAAGACAAAACACATGCATGCAATCGCTAACAGTGGCGGGKTTTTAACCATCTGAACGATTGTGGCCGAGGCGCCACTCAGTAAGTTGGATCGCTGAAGGGAAGTGAACGTGCCGGGAATCACCAAGTAACCCGCTAGGAGAATCCACTGTGAAACCGCTGCTAAAGTCTTGTGACTGAGTGGGATTCTGCGATCACATTCTTCGAGCATGATCATGTATCGGGTTCGAACCACGATTTGAGTATCAGCCCTGGGTGTCGACGCATGTGAGTGCAGGATTGGCGTCATGTTTGAGAGTGGTTAGCAGGGTTCTCTAACCAAGATGTGGACACCAATATATAGATAAAGCGTTCATTTCTGGTTTACTACTTGTCACACCAAACGGGAACGGTAACCCATAACACACACCAAAATCGTCCGCCCTTAAACTTCACAGACACGGTCTGTTCTTGGACACCGATTATTTCAAACTCACATGGCTTCTGAAACCAGCTTGTCGCTCCTATTCGAGCGGATGGGGTTAAAGACCATCGAACCCGAGCAATCAATTGCTGTTGCCTCTCAGCAAAACCTACAAAAAATCGCTCTTCAAATCGGCGCGCTGGAACAAAAGAACCAAGATTTGTTCACCAACAACCGCAGATTGTTCAAATCAATCCAAAACTACCACAAACAAAGACGGTCATGAAGATTTGAACATGACCGATGCGCCCTTCTACCGAATACAAGATTAGCTCTTCTTTCGATACTTACCGATTTCGATTTTCCGTGCGTCTTTGCAACCTTATCTTGCGACTGATTCCAACGTCTCCGAGAGATGTTCAGCAATCTGCCCGCAATGGTCATCTCAGTCACTTTCAGACTTGGTCGCAACCTCAGCAACTTCAATGGACATTCACCAGCAGTTACTGATAATTCTTTCCTGGCAATTACAGTTGTCCCTTGTTGACTATTACAATTTCTGGTTTGAATTCGATGCTAGATAACGCTATACATTTATTCCCACACTTTGAGTAATAAAAATTCCGTGTTTGATCCTTTGTAACTCAGATTGCCGATTCGTTGAGTTTTCTTCTAGACGGGTAGAACCTCAAAAATACGACCAAAAGCTACGCTTCCACTCCCACGGCTGGAACTCCAGCTCCAGCAGGTCCACCGATTGATGCTTTCGAGCCATTCTCCGAAAAACGTCACGAACACCCGCGTTTGCAGACACTAGATACTGTCAGCTATTCACTGCTTACATGGAGACCCGGTTGTACCTGTTATCAGCATATTGCCCACCTGCTTTTGCAGTTCTTCGCGCAGTTCCTCTCGCCAATCGACATTCCCTCCCCAGATTTTGATCAACTCGTGCTGACCAACGTCATGCGGATCTTGAGATGATCGTAGAGAAGGGTTGAATATGCGTACTCGAAAATGCTCACACCCTGTTAGCAAATCGCCGCACGACTTTGGGGTGACTCACATATCCGCTGTCCTCAGAGACAAGCTCTTGCAGCCAATCCTGTACGTCATCGTAATCCGCTACAGACAGTTTAGTACCAGATACCGAGCCACTTGTAGTCCTCAGACGCACCTTCCAAGTCCATCTGCCATATCAGGACAATTTTTTGAGTCCGTACAACTCCGCGCCGATAGCCCTCCAAGAGTTGTTTGATGTAAGGGATCTGAGCCCCAATACCAATTCCGGTGGCAACCATGAAGATATGACCATAGTCAGATATGGGTGTGCCAAGGTCTCGATCCGGCCCGTATGGACCGTCAATCCACACTCGATAACGAGTGCTAGGTAGCATCTTCAGCCTGTTGGTGAATCCTGAACGCGGTTTCACGAGCAGCGTGAATGATTCCATCTCCCCGGACTCATTGTTGTTCCACCACGTAATCACAAAAGGGTGCATTTGAAAGGCAGACAACAGTCCCGCACTAGGGATACTGAGATTGACCCTCTCTCCTGCTCGAACCGTCCATGTGCGAGCTGGAAACACGATGACCTCTATATTATTTCCCTGATGATTGATCAGACATTCTGCACGTCTCGACAATGCTAGATTGCGAACTGCGATCCGTAAGACCTGAATCACGGATGTAAGAGCATATACGGCAGCGGCACTGGCGATGCACCATGTGGATAATGTTGACTTATTGTGAATGTGCCTCCAAGTTGTAAATACGAGACCCAAAGCACAGACACGATGTAATTGCGTAAACAGCTCGTAGACGCGTGTCTTGAAGATGGATGATAACATGAGCGATGCGAAAATTATTGATGCCTATCAGTAATCATTTCAGTACCGCCCAGTAGAACATGATCAAGAACATACAGAAACCCCGTACACCACAGTGCTATCGCGGAAATTCACTGGAGACGACGCTACCTCATACACCACGTGGGCGAGGCCTTGAAGCAATGCCATTGTTCCCAACAATCGGTGGACGCCATGAAACAATTCAAGAGACAGTCCAAAAAGATGAGCTGCGACCTCATGACTGCACACCATTAGAGGAACGATGTTTGCAAGACAAAGCTTAGCTGCCCGGGAACTGGCTTCGGCGAGAGTTGAAACATGGATCACGTTACTTGCTACCGTGCCACCGAGGTATATCACCATAAGAACGATCCGGGACCAACTCCTGGGAAGAAATCTCGAAAGACGGCTGCGTGGTCGTGGAAGATTGAGACCGTGCACTACATGCTCAAGCCTCGGATACAGATAATGGAAGACGGTATGGGATAGGCGAAATGTAAGAAGAAAGATGGCAATGCACCCAGCAATCAATGAATATATCTCGCTAATGTCAAAGGTACCCAGAGGTGCCATTATTGAAGGATAAATACACAAATAAGCAAACAATCTCAGCAAAATCTCTTCCGTCAAAGTGAAACGGAAGTCTTTTAAGTAATATTGCACCAGGTGTCAGGTAGGCGGTTCAGGGACGACGATGTCCCAAAAGTTATTTTCTTCTGTGAGATCCTCCAAATCAGTATCGTCCGTAGAGCATCCCATATCCAAGTCATCTGCGGAGTCTTCCACATCGTATTCGGAGCCGATGAGATCTCTGCGAGGTACGGTGGTCGTGCGGCCGTAGGTCCGCTCGAGGTCCTCTATGTTGAGTCTTTCAATAGTGAATCCATCTCCCTACAATGATGTTAGTATCGTTAAGGCCAAGATCAAATGGAGGTATACCACTATTTCTTCTGCCGGCAGCTCGTAATTACCTGCAGTAACCACGGTAGCCTCTGTGCCGTTCACCATCAAGATGTGAAAGTCTACATGGCAGAAAGTGAAGAATTCCCAGAGTTTTTTGAGCAAGGTTCTCTTTCTCTTTTCATACTTGGTACGAATTCTGCGATCGTGACTGTGACGGACCATCGTGCGCAAAGAATGAACTGATTGTTTTGAAGGAACAGATGATGGAAGGAAGAGGGAGACAAGACAAAATATACGGTTTGAACTTAGCGCACGCAAACCCTTTTCCGTCTGTGTTCCGCAGTGAGGTTGGAATTTCGTCTTCGGCGCCGACCTCGAAATGGCAACCGACTGGAATCACATGCAAAACATGGACTTCGAACGGGGCGTCCATGATCAGCTTTCCCAAACGGGGAATCGAGTTGTTGCCGTTTGACCAACTTGATAGGGGTAGATGGAAATGAATTAATCCTCCATTGACCATGTCGACCAGATTTGATGTAGACTTGAACACACTGGGCGGGGTCGTGACAGCGCAACGAAACAGGCCAACAGAACCGATGACAGGACGGGCAGATATCTCTCTCAAAACGGATTGGTCCAAGACAGTGGACGTCGCTCACAAACTCCAGTGGATCCGGAACCAATTGCTGCAGTGCCGCCAGAAGTGGACCAGCTGGCCCCTTACACCGAATGGTGCCATGGCACCAAAACGGAACCTGGTGAAGATGAGGGACCGAGTCGAGTTCAAAAAAAAACCGCGCCGTAATCAAATCCACGGTTGCTTCCTTTGCCATACGTGCACTTCCAGGATAGCGTATGATTAAATCGCGATAATGGTCCATCATAGCAACATTATCCAGTGCGGCCGAATTTTCCTCAAGAGGGACATTCAGACGGCGGAAATTTCTGGCGATTGAGTCATCCAGCTGGCTCTTCATATCGCGCCATTTACTTTCTCCATCCAAAGACGTCATCCAGGCGTTGAAAGCGCGGCGAAGGAATCCGTCGACAATCGAATTTCGGAAATGAGGCAAGCCCTCATTGGTCGACGGGGGGTGGCTACCAGTGCCTAGAGATAGCAATCTCGCTGGCTCGCGGGACCTTGGCCAGATGGTTCGGCTTACGCGGCGAGCGATCCCCCCGGCAAAATTGTCTGTCAAACCTCCATCTTGAAAAGTACCCGCTGGAAGATCAACTGGAGTGAAAATGCTAGAATAGGTCAGCCAATTTTGCATCCCTTCACGGCGAGAACTTACAACGGCGCTGCAGCAGTCGCTCGAGCCCTATCTCTAGTCTCAGCATGACTTCATTGCATATTAGCCGAGAAGAACTCACGCGTGCTTTACTTGAAGCTCATGCTTGATATTTTCAGGTCGAATAAGTTGGTAGCCTAAACCGTTAGCGAGTGGATGTGTGGCAGCAGAAATGAGCCTACCGCAGTCCTCAGATGTGCCCTTGACGGCATTGAAATTGCCCATCAACACCGTCTCAGTTTTTGCCCCGATACTTGTTGCCACCACTCCAAACTTTGCTCCAGACTTGATGGATCCGGATGAATCGCAGTAGTGGCTATGAAGTAGAGTTTGGTTGCCATAGAGTTGTTGTAGGATATCATCAAAGACTGAACCGTCATAGCAGCTATCATGTCTCCACCATGCGTACCATTGGCGGGGGCGGCCCAGAATAAACGAAGGTAACCACGGAAAAGCGGGACGCCGGCGCTTGTCAAACAAACATCGGGCGAGGCGATTGAAGATCACTGCGCACTTTTGAATGGGTAACTTCAAAACTCGGAGGCCGAAATCCGTTAACCCACCGGAGCTTGTGCTCACGTCCAAATCGAACACGTCTTGAAGGGGACATTCGTCCAGATATTCCTGAATAAGAATCAGCCATTGAATAGGCATCACCCCCCGAACACCCCCTCCGTCAATGGCCAGGATACTGGGGTCCATGGTAGGAGGTAGAACATCGATAATCATCGAAGTCATATCGCAACAGAAAAAACATTGCTCCAACGTAAACTGGTATTCGGTATCGACCGAGACGCTTCCAAATTTTTGGGCGCAAAGATCACACAGCGCATGATCACATGGCGGGAAATGCTGTGCCACCTGAACCAAACAATACAGACATACGCGATTGGACTTTAATGCCGAGTATTGACCCTTTTGGACCGTCATCAAATATTTCCGTCGGTCCAGCGAAGTAGAAGTACCAAGGTGGGGAAGCTCAGCGGCCATTTCAGACTCAATCATGTTGACTAGATTCACTGGAATATGCCGTGGGAAAGGATTTGTGGAAAGAGTCGCAGGTCGATATAAAGTCTGGAACACTAGTCTTGGATCCATCACTAGTCTCAAAAAGTGAGTTTGTGCGATCGAGGAGAACAAAGAAAAAAACTCACACGGCATCTCTGGTGAGTAGTGATCCATCATCAGAGCGGAGGCGATGAAGCGAGCAGCATCCAAATCAGGAAGCTGAACGTCAATACACCTTTGATAAAAATCACTTATGCTATCTCCAATGTCTACTGGTATGCCCTGTGTGCGAGACGCACGAACAAAGTTGTACGCATGATTGTGGGTCGTCGCCAAGCACGCTATCGCCGATCGGAGAAAACCCTGCAGCTGCACCCCAGATAACTGTCCAATGACCTGCATGCGCAGCTGACGTACCTCTCGCGAACGGGTCGCCAACAGTTCTTTGAGATTGCCCTGAGTGCTTTCGCTCGGAAAAATGGTGACAGCGGAGAACGCTTCGGAACGCAGCGCGGAACCACCTGTAGCGTAGCACGTAGGGCAAGATCTGCCTGCTACAATGATTAGGTGGGGCCGAGCCTCGAGGGGCAAGCCATCAACTGCACAATGCTTTGTGAGCGCAGCAAGATCGGCCTCGGTTGGAAGATCATCGGCAAAAATACAAACGACATCGGCAAATAGAAACAGTACCCTAGAATACAGTCCGTAAATGACATCTGTTGGACTGCCTACATGGTATTCAAAATCGTAACGCCGGTCTCCCCTGCTGGGAGTTGAGACAGGTAAAACGGAAGTGTTCCATGGATCACCATCGGCGAAAAGAATGGGCGTATCACTAGTTGCAGTGGCTTCATCAATTCGTAATCGAATTGCACCCGAATTAGCTCGCGCCGAAGCGCTAGCTGAGAATAGATCGTGCAAGTGTTTATTCTTCTGCGCAGAGCCCAGAAAGGCCCATAACTGAGGATATTGCTTGTTTGGATTTGGCAACCCCTCCACTAGGTATTGGAGACAAGCGCTCTCGAGAACGGCATATCCACTTGCGCCGACAGTGGCAACGTCCAACCAGCGACCGCTTCGAATGCGGCGCATGTTGGTAATTTACGTACTGATTGACATGATAGTCGATGTTGGGAACAATTCTTTTATATTACTAGTCTTAGTTTAGTCCCAAGTTCGTATATGGTCTCTGCACTGGCACCGACATTGGAATAGAGGTTAACCTTGTTGAAACTTTACACACGAAATCCAAATGGAATTTATAAATCCGGCATTCACGTAATGATCCGTGTTTGCATTCAGCATCCAGACCGGTGTCAGAAAACGTATACAAAAAAATATCAACGGTTGCGGGACTCAAAACTTTCACCCTACCCTGCTCCGCCGAAGTCGCTGGTTGTTCTTTTGACGATTAGGCGCAGTTGTGTTTTCGTTCTCCCCTCGCATGTACTTCACGGCATTAACGACCCTGTCCAGGGTCCCTTTCATATCGTTCGCCCAACCCTGCAGACTTTCAATCTTTTCGGACAGCTGCGTATGCTGCAAATCTCTGTTCTTATCCTTCGCGTAGATCTCGGGAACTTTCGATTGTAGATTCTCCATATTCTTGGACATTTCGCCAAGTTTGACTTGTAAATCTCTTAGCGCGCGCTTGGATGGCAACTCCTTCATCCGCTTGCTCATATGAAGATTGCCCTTGCGATAGTTGCTAGTCATAAGTGAGCTGGTTTGTTCGTATATAAAGGACGGTTGGCTTACTCCAAGCTTCCTTCGAGATATCGGACACGATCCTCTAGAAGCTTTATCTCCGTGTCACTTTCATCAGATAGGTCTTCCTCTTGGATTTCGTTTGGATCCATCCCTCCTACCCGGGTCGGTGCGTTTCCAACCCATGGCGCACCTGTTGATGTTTGATGTACTTGATTTGGAAGGTCGGCACTGGATTCGTTCGTTACACCCAGTGGCATGTAATCGTTTTCAAAATCATATCCATTAAGAAGCTCATCTAATACGTTCGCCATCTTGTTTGAGAGTGGTTTGCAATTAGACTTAGGAGTGAGTGGGAAGATTCTATTTATGCTATTTAGATATCCTGGTAACAGATGCATGAGAAACCTCTCAAGGGGTCTACTGCTCACTTGTGATCTGATTGGACCGCGGGATTTATAGTAAGAGTCCGTAGACATTATGAAAAAGTTATATTCCACGCGGACCGTTCTGTGAGCCTGCGTACCTTTCCTCAAATGAACTTGGTCATGTTACATCCAATTTAAACGATTCAAATCGGTCACTTACTCGGAACGGGGCACAGTCCAGAATTAGTCAAAACCGATTCAGTCACAGCTGATTCGGAACAGTTTGATTGCGCCGGCCAAAACCGAAAACGGTTTGGTCTAGCAACATCCAAATTGAATCAGTCTCGTTGAGAACAGGACATTACACCAATTCGGATTGATCATCTCAATTGATCCAAATCTGTCTAGCCATAGTTGAACGAAATCCTCGAAGGTATACTGGTTTGGAATGACCAGCCGCAGTATTCAAAGCAATTCACTCATACTTGATTCATGATGTCAGTCGATACTGAACAGGCCACTATTTGAGCTCCTCATAAAGATCGAGCTGTAGCCTCCAAGTAGATGAGCAGAACCGTCAATCACCTCCAATTTCGTTATTATGGCCGTAAGTTTACCTCCATGTGGTGAAGCCTAACTAATACCTCCAAAGGACACAGAAGACCCGGCTTCTTCGGAAGAGACCAAGCATTCTCATGGGAATATCACTCGTCTGCTATCGCGTGCAAGCAAGGCTGAAGGAGAGCTCGCTTTGCTACGTCAACAATTGATAAAAGAGCAAACCGAGAGACAGAGACTAGAGCACCATCTAAACGGGTTGCAGAGAAAATACCACGCACTTCAGGAAGCAATGACAGTGGCTGAGTCCCAATACGCAGCACAAATCCGTGCAAACGATCTACTTACGCTACGCTTGCGATTTCGGATGAGACAACTTCGTAATGTTATGTGTGTATTGACGGACGAGTCATGGGTTGAAGAGGAGTTCGAGATTGCATCCCGTTAGATCCTTTTTGTATTCAATTTCCATGCGAGAAGTACGTGGTTCTTACGGTGATACTACTTGAAGAACTCGTTTTTTGATACTTCTTTCTGGAAGTGCTATTTGGGGGTATCCAGACAATCCGTTTCAAGGAAGGAGCCTGGCTTCCACACATCTGGCTCTGCTTCTTCTGATCTTGACGATGATGCTGTTTGTGGTTCGATCGAATATATAAAAACGCTATGATGACTAGTTGGCAATCTATCTTAGGAGGGGGGAATTGTTTATGTTTGCCTGTCTTGCACTTGGTACGATTATATCTCTTGCAGAGATGCTCATCAGAAGAATAGAATTGCCACGCATCCATCGGCATATTGTGCAGCTCTTTAGCCCACCAATTCGCCGACTAGCCAACGTTGCACATCGGCCAAAGAAAATTCCCTCAGAGTAAATGAAATCATGAGACATCAGCTTGACTGGTGGGGCTGACCTCTAGCGAATTTATCTGATCAACTATCGGGATACAGAATACGGCACCTAGGTAATGTCATTTTAGGCAATACTGGGTGTAACATGAGAGATCTTGTGGTACTAGGCTTATCACTTTTCAGACTGCTTTCCTATTTAAGGAAGTACACTTATAGGCCTTACTATCATACTACGCCCTTTCTTGGACTTTATTTTACCCATGATGGAGATGGCTTCAACTTCTCTAATATACTAGAGGGTCTAGTGCCATCGAGAACCATGGTACGCCAATTGGCTGGAACAAGTAATGCCTCTGTCACGATCCGATTGGTTCCTCTACCCACAACGCTAGAATGACAAATAGAACCAATTACCACCAATAAAGTCTGAACACCGTGAGAGTTGTAGTAAATTAATACATTGGTTGTTTCCGAGGGGGAAGAGTGTCGAAGAATGAGCCGGTACGTGGAATCGCGTCAATGAGCTACTCGATGTTGGTGAGAATGAGAACAGCAAAAGTATCTGTGACTAGACCTTACCTCGAAGAAGCCAATGTACCCATCCAACCATAGAAAAGAGTATCACACAACTCATTAGAGCCATGATGTAAAGGCTTCTCATGTTGGTGCCTGAATGCATTTTGACTTGGGGCTTGGTGGTTGTAAACAATGCGATTGAGCTCATGAATTGGGAGGGTTGTTCTTGAGAAAATAAGACAAAAAACGGAACTGGCCCGTAGACTATATATTCGAGATACAACATAGTGGCAATGCGTCGGGACCGGAACGGGTACACCTCGGTTTACACCGATTTCTCGGTCCACAAATCACTGTCCCGTTCAGAACTCGACTTGGAAAATCGAGGTACTATATAACTTGCAAAGCCCTTGATCAATGAAGGAGTTGGTGCTGGACGGATGTACACAAAGAGCAATGGATTCATACGAGGTACATAATCGCTCCTTCATTCCATATTTAAGCCTACTGACGATGCCGAAGCTCGCTATTTCCCTAGCAAACCACCTGACAAGCCTAAAGCAGCTGGACGATGGAAGTTTCCGTGACACCATTGACCAGGCTCAAATGATGCTTCCCGGGGAAATTCATATCTATCATTCAGAACGTGACATCTGCATCAGTCTAGGTGATGCTTCTACTCACAAGAGGGTGTCTATTGGGAGTCCCGCAAAAAGACATGGCCCGGGAAAGTCTATTTGGACATTAGATAGCTAAGATGGGTAAAACAGGGATAAAATATCCTACCGAGTCCCATCCTCGAGTGGAATCTGCGACTCAACGGTCGAGGTGCCAGATCCCAATAAGTAGGAGTCTTCTGACAATGTGATCTCATTGCCCGGCCTGCCTCCATTGAGCCGGCCAGGGAACCCGATTGAAAGTTTGCAATCATGAGTCAGGGTTGATACTCTTCTTACTGCCTTTATGAAGGCCATTCTTTCGTTCTATCTGGTGAAGTCGAAATTATCCAAATACACAATCTACCAGCTTGCGAGTTACCATTCACTCCTCAGCACATGTCCCATATACCACCATGTATCTACTTGCAATTTTCAAGATGTCAAATTTTCAGTTACTAGCAATAGTTTTTCCTATAATGTCTCTAAGATGCCTAGAAACCCACACAGCATATCCCACAATGTGTGATGCTTGCTCAATCATGCTTTGAAAGGTCTCGTTCAGCGCTTCTCAATGGTGCTCTGATCTTCAAATATCATATTGGACGTGCAAAGTCTCTACGTCTTGAAAGATATTCTTGAATACCCAAATAGCACAAAACCGCACCAGGGGTTGCACTACCATACGGCGAAGTTTGGTCATACGAAGCAGATCGTCTAGACTCAAGCCCTTTAAATATGTACCGTGCACGCTGGAGGCCGTGGTTTTGGTGAGACTCGAAGGATCCTATGTCATTTGGAACGTGCGTGCTTCTACAAATGTCTGAGTGCTAGAGAAATAGGTAGAGCGGCATCGAGAATGGTGCTTCCCGTCGCAACTTCAAAGAAAAGTGAAAGTACTCTTTTTCAATCGTAGAGATATTGTTAGTAATAGGTAGCAGAGGCGCGTAGGAGTGAATTCAGACTAGGGAGGTCCATCGCAGAAAGTTTGGAAACCGGATCTTGGAGGGAGCCCTTCAAGACTACAAGTCATATCGATTTGTTTTATACACTAACGTTATACATTATTTGGTGACAGGTGCTATGATCTATACTATCGACAAGCGAGCTTCTGGTTAGGAAAGCCTCGTACCCTGCAGATCAGCATCGCAAGAACTAATCGTATCTTGAAAAAACATCATTATCCATCCAACTCGGCCAGTCCACTACATCAAAGCTGTTCCAAATGTCTTCTTGTGTATAGGTAGACATGGCTTCGACGTAGCTTTCGAAGTCAGTAGGTGTACCTGGACAATCATCTGGCGTATCGGGCTCTTCGGAGAACTCCAGGGAGGGAGGATAAGGTGTTTCCAAGTCATCTTCCTGAAGTATACTTGGTAGAGCCATTGGATTCTCGTAGGAGCGGTGTGGAATCACGGCAACGTACAGATTGCCTTCCTTATAAGTGGCGTTAATGTTTGGAGGTAGCCATTGCCGTGTCTCAGCTATCGTCTTCTGCCGGCTGTTGGAGTCCAGCATCATTAACTGTTTCAGGATTTCGGCGAGATGCAGAGCGAGCTCGAGCAAAGTCAGTGCTAAAATCAACACATAATGGCCATCGAATTACCTGCGTAATCATTTGTTCCCTTTCTGCGTCAAGGTCCAACTATGAAGGCTTTAGCTATCTTCAAAAGATAACGAGAGACATAATCATACCATCGATAGGGCGCGAAGTCTATTGGTTGACATGTTAAAGCCGATGATAATGAATTCTCTAATTTGTTGATATATTTTCCACTATATATAACTTGCTGCGTCCGCTCGTAATCGGTGTCCCACTGTCTCGCACGTATAAAACAAGCTCAATGATTGGGAATTATACGGGGGACATTCAAAGAACAGGGCTGGATCGTTCCGAGTTGAAAACGACTTCGCGAATCCGAACAGGAAGAAGTTGATTCTAAATGAGAACTCCGAGTGATCTTGAACCGGGACAGCATTGCCCCACATCAGATCGCTCAAACGTTTTGATATCAGCAGGATCCGAGAATCGGATTCAGCAGTCTAAACCACAGTGTACCAGCTCGATTTCAGAGTCATGTCATCAGTGATTGTCGAAATGGCTTGTACACCACTCGATCTAGTTCTAGGGGACTTGAGAGTGAATATCCATCGTTTCCGTCTCAGGTCTCATTGGTATCGCAAATGAGCTAGATCGAGAAGAATCATTATGTACCGTTGTTCTATAATGATTCTTCTTGAAGAATTCGGGGGGAAAGAAACCGGACCCGTCCACAACCTTCTCAGTCAGAACTGGGTCTATAAATTGAGCGCCTGGCGCCTTTGATTGCCCAGATGGCCACGTCAAAATGAAATTGTTTCCTATCATTCTCATTCTGCTTGGCAATGCACTTGCATTCAATCTCGGGCCTTGTCCCTTGTTAGGTCCTCTCAACGCGTGTTTGCCACATCGGAAGTCTTCCTCCATCTCTACTACATTTTCTACGGCATCATCAACTACTTTGACAGAAGCTCCAGATAGTGCAAGCATCCCCTCGAGTAGTTCCACCTTGTCTCGATCTTCTTCGGTTAGCGAAAGCCCTGACCACCAACAGCCATCTGTCACTCCACGTTCCAGCTTGTCCACGCGTGTGATTGTCGTCACCAGTACCACCACTGTTTGGGAGTCAGCTTAGACGACCGATTGTACATACATTCCTTGCCTGTAATGTGCTATCCGTTACTTGCGTGACTGGCACTGCAATTTTCCGAGATGAAGAAGCTTGAAAGCACATCCCCATTGGCGTGGTCGCCAGGGCATCACGCCCGCAGTCATTTCGAAAAACACTGATTCACTGCAGAGGCAGAACCATTCCGGAAGAACTCCCGTGATTCAAACCGTACTGCGTGAGATGAGGCATCAACTTGGATACTTTAGTGACGAGCAGGAAATTATGGAAAAAGTCGTTTACATTGCAAATATAAATATAAGGAAAAGTTTTTGTGCCTAAGTTTTAATGTATACTCAGGCATTACCGTCTCTTGTACTTGTCATGGACAGTTTCAAATCCAGCCCGCTCTACCCTATAGAGGAGGTGACCCCTCTTGATCACCAGATTTTACGTGTTGGAGGCTCTACATCCACTCTGGATCAACTTCCTTCACGTCTTCAACAATCCAAAAGCCAAAGATCTCTGGGCCTTAGGGACGAATTGGAAGAGCTGGCGTACGAGAATAGCTATCTCAAGGCGGAGCTTGCATGGAATAAAGAGACGCGACAAGTGCTTATGCGTCTACACGGCAGGACCCTCGAAGCTGTATCCAGCTTGAGAGAAGCCTTGACCGAAACCACCTCCCAGCTGCGGCGTTGTGAGGAGAGATATTTAGAGCTCTGGGGAATTGCACCTGGATGTCAGAACCCCGAAGGGATGATCTAGAGTCGAAGTAGCCATTTCATGGACCAGCGCCTGGTTCTGTTTCTCCTTAATATTTTGGCAACCTTGGTTCTGTTCGTTGTCAGATCATCTCATGACGTACTGTCTCTCTACACTCAAGTATACTGTACACCTTTCAGTTACTAGCGTCGAATATGTCTTTGGCTTTGAAATCTAGGTCTTGTATTGGACTGACCACCGTCAATATTTGTTTGGATTACGGATCACATACCAAAAGAACGTCGTTTCCAGTACAGTGTTCGGCATCGTTTGCGCAAGTATTGATTCGTACGGTACCTTGACCGGATCCGTGACGATTTTCACGTTCAAGCAGTACAGATGACAGGAATAAAATCATAAAAAGAAAGAGTCTGGTTGAACACTCGATCAATGTATCACGGTTTTGTCTGATTGGTTTATTGTGATATAAAGAAGCCCTCATGCTATGTCTGAAATGCGAGTTGTTTGCAAGAGAGTCCACAGAATCAGATAGAAACCATGCTATCCACTAGAGCCTCATCCGATGCTCATCCCTGGCTAGACAATACCTTGTGGATAACTTCTGCAGTAGCCGGTTTTGTCTCGATCGCACTGGCGCTCTCGGTGCTTTTAGACCCTGAATTTGCCGAATCCGGTGTCTCCATCTTCCACGTATGTAGCTCTCTCAGTTCAAGTCAACTGTTGCTAATGAGCGAAGTTCAATTTCTCAGGTGTCCTCGCTACCCAGCTTCGCTATGAGCGAGGGCTGGAGCTACTGTCTATCCCGGAGGCTTCTTCTGATGACGTCCCGCCGATAATCGCCACCGCTGTGGAAGGTGCTACGTCTGATATTCAAGCTGCACAGACTGTTATCAGCTCCGCTCTACAGGCGGTCGCAACAGATGCTACGACAGCCGTACAGTCAGGCCTGAGTACGGCGATACCGCAGAATATGTCTATCGGACTCCGCAAAGTCTGTTTCGGGTGGCAAAACAACTCGACCCGAGACTGTCGCGGTCTACCTTTCAATATCTCGTCCGTGGTGCCCAGCACTTTGTCAGGAATTCTGAGTGTTCCCATACGACAGCTTCAACAGATCGAGAATAGAGTGGTATCTGCAATCCTAGAAACAGTCCGGGGCGCGCTTATTGCAGGAATCATTCTGCTCCTCTTGTTCTTTCTCTTACTCCTCTTCTGGGAGTTTCCGAACAACATGTGGCGGCGGGCTTTGATGACTCCCTTAGGATTCATATGCTTGGTGGTTCCATCCTTGATCTCAACAGCAGTATTTTTTACGGTACAATCTGATATCCGGCACACGATTGACGATGGATCCTTGATATCCGTGCAGGATGGTGGTGCTAGCAACCTCATCTTGGTTGGGTTCATTTTCTCGATCCTGATGTTTGGCGCGACAGTAGGCATCACCTTAGTCTAAATTCAATGTCGCACTTGTTGGAACCCTTTTTTCAACTTTTAGCTGGTTTCACTGCTGTCACGGGGGAATGGATGACGTTTCAATGTATTACTCTTGCAGGCTGAGGTATGGATCGCCAAGCTAATCCATACCAGGTGTGGAAACCCAGCCTGTTCTAGCATCCTGGGATGCTCAAATCAAGGGGTGCCTGTGCTGATTCTTGCCTACTCCGTGCTCGTTCACGGCTTATCAGACTCTTGATTATTTACAGACAACTCATATCCATATGTTTACGTGGAGACTAGCTTAATCTAAGTTTTCTGCAATACAAAAGGGAGCTGGTTGTCATTCCTGCTATCAACGCAATCTAAACCATCTCACTGTCACCAGAAGAGAGTACAGATCAGAAGATCAAGATGCTGGATGATATGTCTGCATAAAGCAATAGCAGTCCCTTATCAGTTCAATCTAAGAGTGTCCAGGGCAACTGCAACGTCTTACCGATGAAGGAGCTGGTGCTTTTCCGATAATGCGGCGAGTTCGCACGCAAACTTAGTCGGGGAGAATTTGCGTTGCTCAACGTCGTATACTATCCAACAATCAAACTAGAAACTACTAGTCAGATTTGTGAATCAAGAGATGGTGTCACTAGTAAAGATTGAAAGACATACCTTGGCAATCCGCATCCCCAACCGCACACATCGTTGGGTCCGTTCGCCATTCTCTGATTGATGTCCAATCGGTCGCTTGCCACCTTCACGTGCCTTAGAGAAGAAGCCTGGAGGATAGTAGAGTCTAGCCCAGGTAATGCCATTGATCACGAGGTCCTCTGGCAGTTCTTGCAGAAATTCTAGGTTCTGTACAGGAAATTCTGTGTCTCCAATCTTCAACAAATCAGTGTCTGACGAAACCAGCGTCGTAAGATACGTAGCCAGCCGTTCCCAAGGCACATCTGCTTGAATACGGGACATGCTTTCTGGAACCATTGCAAGACACCACAAGAGAACCAGGGAGATATGTACACTTGGCATCGTATTTGGGTCATCGAGACGGCCAAGGATCATGGATAGAGTGGTAAACGCGAGGTCACAGGCCAGAGAGCCTACTTCACCACTGCTACCGATACTACCATCTTTAATAACCCGAAGGTCGATGCCAGGTTGTTGGCAACTAGGCTTTTGCCAGCTCATATATGCTTTCTTAAGTATCGCTGCTTTTGTCCCCTGTGTAAGTCTAGCCCGATTGAACGAAGCTAGAATAGCTGCGTCGTTGGAACCATAGTCAAATAGAGCAGCATAATTAGAGGCTGTAATATATACCCCCTGTTCTCGAAATAAAGGACCAACTTCACTTGCGTACTGATCAAGCTGAGATAAGAACTCGTTAGCTAGGCTTAAAAACGTAGAGACATTCTGTCTCTTGAATAATACACCATGCGCTTTGACAAAACTAATCAAGACCTTAGTGTTGTGTTTTGGATAATTCGTCACAGCATGAACAGGGTCTAGAAGTTGCTCAAAAAAGTATAAAATAGTACCACGCGCATTGGTAAAAGGCTGCACACTAATCAAAGATTTAGAATAATAGAATAATTGTTGCAGCACATTTGGCCAGGCGAGTACTGCCAGATGATGCGGGATCCGGCCGATATCTGGATTCAGGTCAGCGGCCTTGGTATACCAGTACCGAGCCACTCTTGTGTAGATTTCTCTCATGTCCGCCTTTTCAATCCCCATCTTGTAGCGTGCTAAATCTCCCAGTAACTCAATCCACGTCTCCTCGAATTGTGGGACACTCTCCAACAAGAGCGTCATGATCGCATAAGCCATATATAAAAAGGCCAATAGATAGTTACGTGATAAGGGCAACTCCTTTCGCAGCAGGTCCAAGAATGGTTGTATGCCGTGTCTCCACATCCTCACTGGCATTGAGTAGGCTTTAGCTAATCCCTTCTGTGCGTCGCTTGCTGCGGGATGATTTGAAACGAGGAAGAAGTCAACAAATTTGTATAAAACCATCCTAAATAGCGCAGCGAGGACTTGCAATTGTAGTGGCGTAAACTTGTCGGGGTTTTCATTTTGTTGCTTGACAATTTCGATACATTTTCTCTCAACCACGAACAACGCATCGTAGATCGCCGTAAGTTCATGGTCCAGTTGTTCCTTGGTTATTGGAGGTGTATTGGGCTGCAAACATATGCCCCCACTGGCCGGCTCGAAAAGCTGAGCAACAGATGAAAGATTCGGCATCTGTTGAAGGGATAGGGCCACCGTTCTACTGCGGGTTTCAGTCATGGTCTGGTCGAGAGCCAGAAGAACAGCGGATTCGGGATTTGGAATCTGTTGAAGGGAGAGAACCACAGGATTACTGCGAGATGCAGGCGCTTTTTCGTCTTCGGCTTTAGTGGTCATGACCTGGTCAAAAGCCTGAAGAACAACGGATTCGGGATTTGGAATCTGTTGAAGGGAGGGAACCACAGTGTTACTGCAAGGCGCAGACTCTTTTGCATCTTCGCGTTTACTGCTCATAGTTGCCCAAGTATGATAGATACGCCAGTCAAAGCTGTAGTTCCTCTGGAAGGATTTGTCCACAAACAAGTCACGGAAGATCTTGCGCAGGTAGGAGTAATCCGGCTTGTCGTGGAATTTGAGAGACCGGACATGTGTGAAATACTCCCCGAATGCGCTAGGCAAGCGATGACAAAGAACCTCGATATTTGCTTTCTTTTCTCCAATATCGCGATACATCTTGTCCTTTTTTTTGCACCTCGTCCTTTGCCAAGGAAGAGAACCACGCATCAGTCGAAGGAGCACGAAGCCCAGAGATTCCATATCGTCACGACGAGCATGTCCTTTTCCATCGTGGACATGAAGACTCGCATAATAAACGGTCCCTACCAACGCCTTCCCTTCGGATTCTGCGATGTGAGCACCAGACTTGGGGTCACAGTACCGCTTGGCCAAACCCAAGTTAGTAAGATAGACCTGCGGATCATGTATTCCACTGCCAACGAATATGCTCTCGGGTCTGATGTCACGGTGGATATAGCGTTCGGAGTGGAAGGATTCGATGAGAGGAATGAGTTGATCCGCAAGTGATAACACAGTCCTCAGAGTGAATGTGCCGTCGCATTGCTGGAGTAGCTCCTCCAAATTCGGCCCGAGGTGGTTCATGACCATGACACGGTGATTATCGTCGGTACCGAACCAACGTACGAAGGGGATGCCAACAATATGGGCGAGACGATTGTGAACATTCGCTTCGTGTTCGAGCTGGGGGTGTGCTGCGTCGACACGCTCAAGCTTGATGGAAACGGTTTCTCTGGTTTCGACGTGAGTACCTTTTGCGTGATTAATATCCCACAATTCGATATGTGTTCAGGTTATCCTTACCTTGGTAGAGAGTACCAGCATCCAGGTCAATAGCGGTCATTTCGAATTACTAGGTTGTTTGAAGACCTGATGAGAAGTCACACATTCATGCCTGAATCGGCTGAACAATCAAGGTGTACGTGATAGAATGGAGCACAAGAGGTGCGGGAGAGCTCCGTTTATGGACAGGTATCAGCCTTTCTATCTTTTCTCGGCCCGCATCTTACTCCCAGCCGTGTTTTGATTGCTAGGCAAAACACCGCCGATGTAATTTCAGATCGTACAATGATTACAAGTGGGTCCTGTGCCCAGGCAATATTTGACCATGTATGGTGTGGGTCACGCTGGGTGAAGTCACCCTTAGCTCGATGCAAGTCCAGCGTATGCTCTCTTAGGATGCTTTCAAACAGAGTAGATTTGGGTCTAGACAAATGGCACGGTGCCATGGGTGTCCGAGGTTCTTCTCTAGCTCTTTCGAATCTGATAGAACAAGCCCGTGCGTAGAGTGTGCCACGAGTCTGCAATCATCGCGATGAGGAGTACTACGTATGCGATTTCTCATCAGTGTTGTATTATGCGATGATAGCCGAATATACAAGGCGTGGTGCTTTGTTCTTTATGACCTGAGTATTTCGAGCCCTCCGCTGTCCTAGCACTGGTTCAATTCCACTTTTATTCCTTCTTGGTGAAATTGTGAAAGCAACGCTCACAGCCTTCAGTGGTTGCCAAGTATTGAAAATTTCGTGAGCCGGTCGCGAACTACCGTTTTATATTGATACAAGAACACCTAGTTACCCTGGAACCTATGCGGTTTGTGGTACGATTTCCTCTGTTCTGTGTGACTTTTGGCACTGTATGAAATAATTTCAATCATTACTCAGGATTTACCGCAGCCTAATGAGAGTCCAACCGCATTCGACCCGATCATGCTTTTTCCTACCTGATTCTAGAATTTATTCACTACGAGGTGGATTTCTTGGTGAATCAGCGCTTGGCTAAGACTGCAATCGGCATCGGATATGCTTTCACGGGTCTAGGGATGAACCACTCACGTGTAGAGACAGTGTATTGATCTAATGGGAGCAATTGGCGACCTATGAAGCGCTGGCTTCTGCAGGTAGACGCCTCCGCTTTGAAAATTGACGTTTATGTACAAGGCGGTAATGGCGCCCCCTGCTCGAGCTCTTTAGACAGTAAATCAGCAATCATGTGACTTGGCGAGATTGAAAGGTGGATGCTCACATCGGAAAAGGACCTGCCGCATTCCTCACACACATAAGGCTTTTCACCTGTATGAGTCCTGGAGTGCTTTCCAAGAGCCATTTTCTGGATGAAGCTCTTGTTGCAACCAGTCACCCTGCAGTGATACGGACGCTTCTTTGTGTGGATAAGAATGTGTCTTATCAGATGCTCCTGGCGTTGAAACAGCTGGTCAATGTTAAAATGAAATTCCTTCGACGAAAAGGATTGAGCATGGGCTGTATCTACCTTGATGCAGTTCTCCCACGGACACTGGTAGGGTATTCCATCACCTGTATTAGCGCAATTTGTACCAAAACCGGGTGAACCAAGGACTAAGACGTGCTTTTCACGTGAAGAAGGAACAAAAGCGGCATTGGAACCGGTCTGAGGGCTCGAAACTGAAGGACTGGAAGTAGAGTCAGCCGTAGGAGATTTTGATAAAGGTTCCGGACCACTGGAAGGATTTCGAATCCGGCACTTTTGAAGAAGTTCCAACCCTCGTAATAGTGTAGCAAATGATCTCAATGGTTCTACAGGCTTGGCCTGGTATCTAACAGCAAGTATTGCTCTGAATCCATGTGACTGGACTTGACTTTGAAACATCGCTTCAATCTGAGATACAGCTGATCCCAAAGAGCGGTCGAATTCAATTGGTGACCACTGTATCCTCTTTTGAATGATTTCCAGATCATACGCGAGCTCTGATGGCAGATCCTGGAAAGAGGTGATACTCAGCAATTGATGAAGTATTTTGAAACTTGTTGGAGTCATTTGACATGTGTGAAAGGCGTGAATGAGAAGAATGAGATTTCCTTCAACACCGGCTGACAAAAACCATGGCGGGCACAGAGCAGCTAATGCATATAGTGACAGGAGCCATTGCGTTGGTGAAAATCTCTTAGTAGTTTTGAGAATAAGCAAAATATGTTGAACATAGATGGTGACCCATGGAGAAGCAAAACACTCTCCAAATTGGGCAAGATCCGTTGGAATTGGTGGGAGATGTAGAAACCAAGTAGTATGCTTTCTAGTCCTAAAATGATCGTAAGACATGAAACTATCACGAAGAGCAGAGATTCTGTAACTTACCATTGCAACACCCAACGTGCAGCCTCTAGATGGTGTGGAGGTAATGTGCGGCTCATTTCGAAAGTCCTGTCGGTATTGCTAAGTGATCTAGGAATAGTCTCATTGTTAGGAACAGGATCGGCCATAAGACTGTGAAGTATGATACAAAATCTCTCAAACCTCTCCAAGGACAAAGCCCTTGTCGAAAGTTCAAAATCCATAATATGAAGATTGCCGATCATAGGGTGCCATGGTGTCTTTTCTAATAGTTGCTGCGTCAATATACGCTTCGTCATCAACAGCGACAAGGTAGGATTTAAGCCGTTGATGCGACATCCGAGTATGGATATCTGAATGTCAAGAGGATCCAGGATGTCTTTATATGACTGTTTTTCCGATAAGAGCAGACGGAGTAGTTGAAACATCGTTGCGTAAGTTGCTTGGTCCAAGCTACCGTTCTGGACCGCCTCCAGCCACAGCTGTAAATCCTGCGATGTCTCTGGTATAACCCTCAGGGCCCCTGGAATATAGATTGGGCATAGTGCTGCAAGACCGCACAGAAACAATATATTGTATCTTTGGTTCTGATGATCGATAACGTGCTGAAGCAAGTATTGTCGAATCTCAGAAGCTGTCGGGGACAATATGAATTGTTCGTAATATGCGACGCTCACCAAGGGAAATATTCCATCATGGCGCTTTCGACACCTGTATTGATGTTAGAAAGAAGAATCAAATTGCTCAATCATATGTACTCAGTGAATATATCGTGTGCTGCAATAATTGCTTCCATTGATCCGGATGGCTGATGGACAATATAGTTGCTTTTCTCAGCTTTTTGTCGTCGTACCGGACAGATTCATGCTTGCGGAGCGGGGAGAGAGAGCCTCGTTAAATATTCACGGCCGACCATCTCCACGGTCCCCGCAGCAGTAGAACCAGACCTTCACTGCAACGAAATTTTCAGCTTGCATGATGCATATACGTAAAGCTCGGCTAGTTCACAACCGCGCATGACTAGTATAAGGGATAGTGAGTAAGAAGCAAAATGGAAAACATCAAATTGGTTCACGTTGCAGAGCACTCTTCCACTGAGTTCTGAAATTAAGTAGCTCCTTTGCTTTTAGTTGAAAGTCTGTCGCTATAAAATTATTGCCAGGTTTGCCGGGAATGAGCCGCTATCAATCATTCTACTATCAATTGCTTTTCGCATTGAATCTATATTCACGGCTACGCCATCGTTCAGATCGTCATACCGACAAGAAAAGTGAGTCATCACGATATCGTGATCTACATAGCATCATCTTTTTCCAAGCCTTTCCTCTTACACCAGCATCGTATTGTGTCATTCAGAGCCCCAATCATAGGGGCTAATTCCATAAGATGTTTGTCGATCAAGTCAATGCACTGTCCAATGGCTTTCCAGTTCAAAAATTAGCTGCATATTAGAGCTTCGGCGACAAAGAGATGAAGATCTTACCATCAAGAATTTCCTCTTCCCACATTCCTCTTTCGTAGTCCACCAACCCATGTGGTGCCAACCAGTCACAGAATCTTATCAACTCTAAGCCCAGATCCTCCAACGACCACGCATCTAACAATCGAGTAGATCCTGGCTGCAGTATTTTGCTGCAAATGGTTGCATTGACTGAGTCCTTCTGCTTTTGGAGCAATGAAAGCCAACAGTAATTGAAGGTCTTCCAAAGGGGTAGATGCACTTTAAGTGTCAATTCGTTATCTCGAAAGAGACCTGTAATACCCCAGATATCGTGAGTTTGGGAATATGGACCGTGAAGGATAATATCAATCTGCTGACCTAGATCTTTGGCATGTGTTTCCAGCCAGTCAATCAAATTGAGCAGTGCAATACATGCTTTGTCCAAGCGGGCAGCAGCTATGTCGTAAAATGCTTCGCGCATTGACTCGTTCCATTGATTATACCGAGTGTCCCAGTATGCAGCGTTCATACCGCGAAATGCCTCAAGCAATCGTATGTCCACCGCAATATAAGCGCTTTCATTGAAATACTCCGTTTGGTATTGGATGCTGTGCAGATCATTGGCAACGGGGATGTGAGAATACGGTGCAATGGTAGCTCCACGCTGATTGGCATTCTGAAGCATATATGTGTCATTCTGAGAACTTTGTGCGAAGGGCTTCATGTTCAAGATTCATGGTCTAATCATGATGAGATTGTCGAGAGGCAAGTCAGGCTCACAGTACTCTACTGAGATATGGCGTCCATTTTATAGTCGTAGCCAAAAATCAATCAAACCGCACATACAATTTTCTACACCAATAAGATCACGTCTATGGACTGTGGATGATCCACAATCTCGCAGTGCAAAAATTGTTACTCTACCAAACAATCCCTGACCAATCCAAAGCTACACGATACGGAGCCGGCCTGTCTGGCCTATCTCTCGCTGTTTTAGTCTCTTCCTCTGTGTTTGGATAAAGTCGTCGTAATACAAGGTCAGTGGGCTTGTCACTTGATTGGGCGTCTTATGAAGTCACCAAACCTAACGCTAAAGAACAAGGAAGAAGGATCACCGGCCACTGAGTAGGGAATCAATGCGTCATGCCAACTCTATTGTACGCACTGTCGAGAACACAGCCAACAGGCCGACCACTCATACGGCACGGTCATACTTAAACAGCCACAATTGCAGCATTAAATAGATTAGCTAGATACTCGTTCGCGTCCAATTGACATAATTCATGTCCAATCAGAGTTTTTAAATGCTACAACCAACGCGAGAGGAATCAGCTGGAAGTAAATGTGGTTCGTTCTTTGTTGTGCTCCCCGCGCATCGCTACTCCAGTGGTTAAGCAGGCATTAACAATGGAAAGAATACCGGTAAGTCGGGGAGAACCTTGAACTATAACATGTACAGCACTCCTCGAGAGATAGTCCAATGATTCAACTAGCTCAGCCCTTTAGTCTGCCACTTTTTACAATGTGTTTGGTAATCCGAGGAACTGAGACATGTAATCGTCAGAACACATGTAACCGTGTGCACTTGAAGGTAGAAAACAATATGACCATGGGTCCGCCAATAGAGGTGCATGGTGAAAAGAACAGATTAGCTGTCTGTGACGATCAAGGGACGGCCATACATCCCATGCACAATACGAACGTAACGATCGCGTATCTTGATCCGGCATGACAACTGATGTGGGCAAGGATTGGAACCCCGGTGCTGGCTCCAAGTCTTTCTGATCTCGCATGGTACGTGATTCGTGCCTCGGTAGTTGTTTTTTGGTGCGTGCCGGATCGAAATCCTGTAGACGGAGAATTTCCCACAATCTGCTGAATTGCTTTCGATGTTTTTTCTTGGGTTTCAGCACCTCAAAGGCAGTCTTTAGCTCCTTGATTGTGACTTCGCATGGCGTCTCCAGTAATATACGAATCAGTAGCTTCCGTTGTTCTACGAGATATTAGCCTGCATCACCTTCGGGTCGATATCTTCTTACCCGAGTTCTCGAGACCGTCGACATCACACAGCCACCATTCGTCCCCATGCAATGAAACCTTGTTTTTGAGAAGTGCGACATAACTTTCAACCAAGCGATGACAGAACACTGGATCCGGGTTCACGAGATATTTTTGATAAAATGACATGGGTGGTCCTGCAGGACGTAGCCGCCGAAAACGCCGGTTCGCCATGATCAAAAAACAAATATGGGTGCAGGCGGTGCATGATCCTGCAGGTGTTTCGACGATTATTTATGATATCGTATTATGGTGTATCCACCAGCACGCCAACACTGAGGTTACATAGTGGTAACGCCACTGAAAATTACTATTTGAAGCTGCTCTAATCGAAGACGGGATGGTCGAAACAATACGGTGCTATACGTTTCAATGATCTAATCTGGAAATGACAGTACGTGACAGTAAATAGGGGAAACCTTCACTTTTCCCACTCAGCTGACCGACGAGCGTCTCTCAGTTCCAGAACTCTTATTATGTTGTAAACGTTCTGGAGTTCAAGGCTCAAGTCTTCGCTATCGATTTCCAGAAATTTGCACTCTCGCTCAGGCGACATATCACATCAGACCATGTACCTTTCGGATGACTATGGATGTTAGTAATTCTGCACATGCTGCTTTTGAATAACAGACATCCTTCTCTGGGACAATGACCTCGGATATTTATGATTAACTCTATTCATTTAGTCGTGACCAGCCACGATGCTAAAGTAGTTTTACGGTCGATTCATGATTATTCCCATCGATTCAAAGTTGTCCAGATAGTAGTTATTCCTAGACCTGCGGGACGCAGCGGCCGTAATCGCCGTTCCTCCATCAGCTAGAGATAGATATTATGCACGATGAGAATGCGGTTCGGCGGGTACTTTTACAGAGATTTGTTGAAGTGGATATACCCATTAATCTCATGTGCATATCGTGCATCATCCAGAAGCTAGGGTACGCTGGGTTGCATGGTAGTACGCCACCTTTTAGCACTACCTGACGGCTTAAACCTGATCGGACGACTAAAATATACGGGCCTGACGAGGAGACTAGACACTGAGTAGCTCATGAATTCTCAAGGCCTTAGTGTTGTAAGGAGAACAAAATGATTGCCTAGATATATACAAATGATTATATAGTGCCAGTAACGGAACTTTCCCAGTCGTCCTCTTCGCGAGCCTTACTTAAAGCCGTTTTGAGCTTCTGAATTTCGACGTTGCGAAGCCCTATTTCTTCGTCGCGAAGCCCTATTTCCCTTTGGAGAAGTCATGTTTCCCTTTGGAATACCTGTACCAATTGTTGGATTGTATTGTGCTGATCCCCGGAGTGATTGCACAGTGTGCTTATTAAATCACTTATTATATCACTATGATTGTCAGTAGCTCCAACGTCAGCTATGGCGGGCAACCTACATCGGTTGAAGTGGTGATCGACTTTCCTGAGGAGCTATAACACCAGGCCTCAGTCGCCTATTATGTCCTTCATCTGCCGAACTTGCAGGTCGCTTCCGCGTTCCGGGCAGTGTGTGACCTTTTATTAATGTCAGTTATATGTCATGTACGAAAGAGGTATATGCTACCCTCGTTCTCTTCATTTGAATGATCCTCCATGATCTCAAAGTTGCTGCGAGATTCATCCATTATGTCAAGGACAGATTTCGAAGCTATAGTATCCTACAATTCGAATGACATACACCTTCTTATAAAGGTGGCAGCTACTACGGGCTGGGTATCTTTGTGCCCAGCCCTGGCCCATCAGATCAAGTCAGTGATAGTCCCAAATTCCAGACAGTCTAGTGGAAATGAGGGTATTAGTTTCTCCTTTGATACTAGCCAATCGATGAGGATATTGAATAGTTGGCCAAGGTGGCTTCTATATTTACGAACCAATTATAGATCGATTATCGACTTGATTCAGAGACCGCGGCGCCTGTCGAAAATAATACTTCGAATGAGGTTTGTCTATTTGCCACAGTCTTGTTTAACGAGAAGACCACCCCATGAGGCACCAGTCAGTTTGTGTAGGCTGATCTTCTTTCTTGTTAAGGATTTCTGCTCCTTTCGGCGATGATCTATCTCGAAGCTCTTGTTTCATTGTCTCCACTTCAGGGTAGCTCTGTGGATTTACGATTTTCTAGTAGGGTCTGATCCCACTGATCCATTGACCAGTGACTGTGCAGTACCAAATTAGTTCTGACTCGGAATGTTGGCAGGAAAGCGAGGGTCTCACTGTCAAGTGTTTCCTCTTCCCACATTCCTCTTCTGTAGACTACTAAGCCCCGCGGTTCATCCAGTAACAAAATGTAATAAAAAGTATCCACTAACTATATCCATTGTTCTAGCTATACACTAGTGGCTGTCTGGATGATTGGCGCTTGGGTTTTGGAATACTATGAAACTGTATTTCATATACGTTGTAGTGTATTTCCGCATTGTGCTAGTAACATAATACTGAAGTTTCAAAGCTTAACATACACCTAATAAATTCGTTGTAAAATTGTGGGCGGATTCGAGAGAACCCGGTTATGTCTTCACGTGGCGTTTCTCACATCTACTATGTCCAAAAGTTTTGTTCCCGTCTCAAACGCTGGCCGGTCCAAGGCCACATGGAAAAGTCTCAATTTTCAGATGTCTAGAAGAACTTGATATTATCTCCCAAAGTTTAATCAATAACGATGTTGCTCTAAAGTTCAAATTAAAATATTCGCGTGCAATATCGGGCTGTAGCTGTTGCTCTAAGCTGCCCCCGTTCCCAGTCCCAAATCAATGATACTAACTCAAGGCACTAACTAAATTTACACCATCACGCGGGTACCCTAGACCATGTCAGGTAGGGAGTAAGAAACCAGCCATGTCCAAGCATTCAACCACACATAAAATAGAATCTTTAGACCGTGATCTTCTTGAAGAGGCTTTTGTGCGCAAACTCTGTATCTATAGATCATTAGCCGCCGTTCCAAGGATTGATTAATGACCACTTACAGTATCAGACGGTCGCCCTCTTTAAGCTGMCCTGCCGCAAGACAAGCTTTCAAGCTCGCCTCATTCTTCAGTGACTGGGTAGCATCTGGAGCTACTAAGAGTCCCTTTGCATAGGCGTTGAGACTACGCCGAACGAGATCCATGTTCTGGAAGACGTCAACAGATATCTTCTCCTGAATGATATCTCGGAACCCTACACTCTGCAACTGTCTCGAATAGAGTGGTGCCATGTTCAGTGGTGTACCTCGATCTTCAGCCGCGCGTTGAAGATCAGTCATCAGGGAGGACAGGTATGTGGTCTCCCGCTCTTCTCCGTATTCTATCGTGAAACCGTAATCCAGCAATTCGACATAACCTCCCCGTTTGAGCATGCGGTATACGTTCCCCAACAACTCGTCCCACCTTCGAATACATCTAGCGAACTGATCAGTCATGAATTCAACTATGTATATCAATCTAATCTCACCCATCCATGTGACTGATATGAACCAAATCAAATTGGTGGTTATCGTAGTTCAAACCATCATGAAGATCACCTAACTGCCAGGCGAGGTTCGATGGACCCCATTCCGGTTGAATGTTAGAGATATCAAATCCAATGACGGATGCTGAGGGATGAGCACTGACATGGTTAGTCGAAAAGAACCCCCTTCGCCCCAAGAAACTTACTATGCAATTTCTATAGCCCATCCTCCAGTCCCGGTGCCTATATCTAAAATTTGGCGGAATTTGTTAAGCTTGGACCGATGAAGTGGTCCTAGTAACACTCTTTCCCTATATTTACTGTTAAAAGGTCTCTTGAAAGATCAAAAGAACTATTTACCTCTCCCACATCTAATCATTAGCTGGATAAGACATCTTCACAAGTGAGGGGTAACATACATCGTCGAGACGATCTGGTTCATTCGGATCACCTGTCAAGCTATTTCAATTAGCTGGAGTCGTGTGTAAATGTAATCTGTACTGACAAATACTAACTTCAGTTAGCTAAGTTACATCTCTTGGGGCGTGAACTCATACATCGGCGGTTCTGCACATTTCTGCCGGATCATCAGGGTCTGCGGACACGGTCGAGGCCGTCTCATCTATCGAGTACATCTCCTCGGCGTCGCCTGATAACGGATCTGAGTGCAACATGGCGGTGAGCAGGGCTGAGATTGGAATAATGCTGCTGTACTAGGCTGCAATGCTGCATGCTGGGTATTTATATCCGCCAATGTATAATATACACTGTGGAGAATGCTCACCTGCATACCTCTCGCCAATCACTCGAGTCCACTCTTCCACCATGGATTGCCAAATAGATACAAGGCTGATTCGGGTYTATTTTTTTTTTTGTATTAATATCTATTCGAGCCAATTGGGTCTGCCAACAGATCTTCTGAACGGTGAGATTCTCCGTTCTTGGATATTACTCCTAGAACAAGCAATCGCCATGACTTTAGCGGCACTCTACTCAACCAGCGTATTGAGTACTTGTCAATTTCGGAATTCTCTATCTTTCAAAGGCCCGCTAGGGATCTGTCATCAGTGAAATAACGGGACATACGTTCACTATCTGCGTGCAGCCATAGTCTAAGGGCTCCTGACCCTCCACTCACTGAACAGCGCTAAGCACCAGATTTCGCACGGAGGAAATAAGAGATATGGATGGATATCACCGAGGCATTCCTGTGCAACACCATTCAGGAAAGTGGTTTTAGTGAGCATTTCGAGTTAGTTTAGTGACGGGAGGTTCCCACATTCTAGAGGCGAAGCAATTCTCCGTCCACTCCAAGTGGCATAGTCCTTGCCTTTACCAATCGCTTCCGCAGAGCTTTCCACGCCGGCACGATGTCCTCTTCTGGAAAATGCTCTGGACTTGAACAACATTTCCCAACAATGCAATCTTATCACGACCAATCGGATTTTCAAGAAAATCTTCGGATCGCGTACCTAGTTTGGTAATTACTCTGCACTCTCGTGGCGCACTATCTAATAGTACTATTGAGTATTTGTCAGAGTGGAGAATTCTGACTGTTTCCAAAACGCTGCGAAAGGGAAGATTTTGACTAGTTAACATAACTGTCGCGTCTATACTATGAAGTGGGACCGCATGTTGAACTTGTGGCCCCATTAAAATGAACCAATTACATGTTGCATCCAAATCCTCGATTGCTAGCGGTCAAAGTGGCACCACATGTTCAACATCCGGTGTCCACTCCCCTCGACGACACCTCATTCTCAGTTGCTATTGCGGTCGCACACAACGGTACCCGTCATGGAAGAAAACATCAATCATGCCTGCGACTTTCTGTGCAACCTCAGTGCCGATGAAGTCTCTCAATATGGAGCGATTTTCGACCGGCTCCTGATGCAGATCGGTCCTCTACGAGGCTGGACCCTTTCCAATCCCTCTATTGGCCCTCTACGAGACGAGACCCTTTCCAATCCCTCTATTGGCCCTCTACGAGACGAGACCCT